GATCTCATCTTTGATAACTTCACATTGCATTGTTCTTTGTTGCATTTGCTTTCAATTGTTTGATGCCTCAAATTTCAATTCAAGTGCTGAAGGAAATACAAAGTGCTCGACATGATAGGATTACTAACTCAGCTCACCTAAGTCCTGCAATGAAGAGGCACATCAAATAAAAAGCCACCTTGATAAGACCTTGGTTACAGGAGTCTTCTAATGCAGCCTGGGTCGTAATTTATCACAATGACTCATAATGTGGCGTTCTATGTAATATGATGTAATGCTGATGCAAAATTCCATTCATTGAATTCCAAGGTCACAAAAGAGAAAACAAAAAGAGTTTCTTTTTAGTTGCAACAAATGTTTTTCCTTGAAAAGGCTTTGACTTTTTCTTACACACCCTCTTATTGTGCAAAATTCCTGCTTGAAAATGCTCTTCTGTTTTCTCTAGTATATCCATTAAATAACACACTTCTTCTGCTATTCTCATAAGACCTTGATTAAAAAGGAAGTTGACTTTGATAAAAGTCAAGGCTTGAGCATTTCTTAACCACAAAGTGATTTTCAAGCAGCCACCTTGTGGCAGACATCTGCACTGGAACTGATTTAGCTCACAACTTGCTGCTTTATTGCCACAGTAACTATCGTAAGTTCCAGTGGCCAAAATGAGGTAACATACAGAACTATTCAAAGATCTTCTTCTGAGAGCTAGAAAAATATTTAAAACAACAACGTACAAAGGCCGCAAGAACATGGGAAGTATCTACTGAATTGCACAAAAGCATACTTAAAAATGATGGATGCATCCTGTGATGCCAATTTAAGTTTCACAGTTTATGGGGAGACCCCATAACAACCAAGAGAATACAGAGGATGGGAACATCAGTAAAATCCAAAGTTGATTTCAGTATCAAAGCTACCATGGCCAAGCTAATCAATAGCAGTTCATGTTGCTCCAGCCAGGAATATGGCTACAGATGGTTTATTTTTTTAACTTTAAAAAGATATTGTTTTTTTCTACAAAAAGATGGGACTTATTGCAAGGTAAATAGGTTTACCAAATTCCATTGTATTTTTAAAATTATAGTATCACCATATTCCATATACTGAGATTTATCAATACTGACAATGTGTTATATGTGGATTATATACCAGATGCAGGATCATGATACAGAGAGAAAAAAAGTTAATTGTGTATCTTATGTTGTGATAATGATCATAGATCTTTAAAAGGGTCCTATCCATAATACTTTTTTGTACAGGATCAACATTAGCTGGCTAAATCACTGATTTCTGGCTTTTAGGTGATTAGTTAATTCTGCTGAGGTTCAAATTATTGAAACCAAGAGACTAGTGTATATCATTCTTCAATGAATGTTGGTAGATTCATGATCAACAAGTTGGTGCCCATAGTTCTTCATTATACTACAATAATCAGTAGATTGAACAGCTCTGAATAATTGGCAAAGAACAAGAAGACTCTAGAAAGAGTACAGAGAAGAGCAACAAAGATGATTAGGGGACTGGAGGCTAAAACATATAAGGAACGGTTGCTAGAATTGGATATGTCTAGTTTAACGAAGAGAAGGATAAGGGGGGACATGAGAGCAGTATTCCAATATCTCAGGGGCTGCCATAAAGAAGAGGGAATTAAGCTATTTTCCAAAGCACCTGAAGGCAGGACAAGAAGCAACGGGTGGAAACTAATCAAGGAGAGAAGCAACCTAGAACTAAGGAGAAACTTCCTGACTGTGAGAACAATTAATCAGTGGAACAGCCTGCCTCCAGAAGCAGTAAATGCTCCAACACTGGAAGTTTTTAAGAAGAGACTGGACAGCCATTTGTCCGAAATTGTGTAGGGTTTCCTGCCTGAGCAGGGGGTTGGACTAGATGACCTCCACGGTCCCTTCCAACTTTACTACTATAACTATTACCTTCATATCCTTTTTGAAGTTTTTCAATGACAGCTAGTAGGCACTAAACTAGGATAAAGAATGATAACTTTCTTGAGCTGATCTGGTAAAGTTCCCCTTAGATTATTTTACTATATACAATAAAGTAATAGATGGCATAATTAACTCAGAAAATATTATTGTTGATATTACTCTTACTAGAATGTAGCAAGAATAGAACTCTGAAACAAAGGATATTCCCCCAAAAAACCATTGACCATAAAATAGAGAATATTCCTCACACAGTCCCTTCCATGACCTTGTAATCAAATAATCAGATGAACCTCACATCAACTGATATATTTCATCAACAATATTCAAAGTAGATTATCTATCCAAATGAAATAAAATAGGTGGAGAGAGAGGGGGGGGAGAATTTTCAAAACAGCACTAATTAAAACACAGCCTAATGATCTGGACGTTGTGTCACATGATGACCTTTATATAATAATTGCTTGAGCTTTCTCTGCTCATCAAATACTTTTTCTCCTCACTATCATGACCAGTTCTTTCTTAATGGAAAGAGTTGGTTAAGATACCAAATGAGTAAAGATATCCCAGTATCTTTAAATGAGTAAACTATGCATTGTACTGAAACGGAAATCACTAATTAACTATCATCACCAAATAATGATTAATGTAATTATATTAAAACTGCACTAGTGGAATTTGATTATACAGTATTTTAATAAACAATTCTCCAAATCTCAGTGATAACTATGGTATGCCTTAACAACAGCAAAAGAACTCTTTGGCATATAATCATATTCCAAATCAAATACTCTGAGAAAAGTCAAATGGTATAGCAATACTAAATACTAAATATTTTATTACCATGAAGTAAATTCTACATTTAAAAATGCCATTTCACGAAAGTTTATATTTTGTGAACCTTTATTTAAATGGCAGAAATAAGCATCAAAGTTAATAAGTTTCATAGAGAGCTTGTCTGGATTTCTTTAATAATGTTAACCAGTTTTGTGCTGGATTATAGAAGCAAGAAATTTCCAACAACTCTAAAATCAATTCAATAGCTCCACACTGGGAAAATTTAATAGCTTTAAATTTGTGGGGAAAATATTAGAGGGCCAAAGACAGTGCACATGCAATTTTCCCTATTATGCCTTCTACTAAGTGAAAGTTGTAATGCTTACATTATTAGTATTAAATGGAATTTAAGTATCTACCAACCAGTTTTGCATTACAGTCAGCGTATTTGAATGCTAGTATGAATCTTATATAAAAATAGGTTGGTCATGCGATACTGTGAGCATACTTTATCAATGATCTGATTCCCCCATTAGAAGGTACTGGAATTTTTAGACCAACAATCTGGGACTCCAATGCTCTATGGAAACTTGCATGAATACATCAAAGAATATATCTGTTCACATGACATTCAACAAATGTTTAACATGTAAAGATTCACTATACACATTAGGACTATGCAATGCTTTGAATTCAGTTTCAAACACATGCTTCACAGCATGAACAGATCTGTCAGTGACTGTTGTTGTTTCCTCTATTATTCAGTCAGAATCTGCTTTCCTGTCTCTTTCTCCACATGACATAGCTTGAGATTCTTGAGATATAGTATGCTATCATATCTTCACTTAGTCTTCTAACAATTTCTTCTCATAGACATAAATAGAAGGTTTAGCTATGACACAGTATTTCTTTTCCTTTCTAATAATATGCATTATTACAATTGTTTGTGTGTGTGTGTGTGTGTGTGTACACACACACACACACACACACACACAATTCCTGCAGCTCACAGAAAAGCACATAGAACACATTGTATGTGCAGTTCACACATACACAATTATGCCACTCTAAAAGATGTCTGCAAGGGAAGTAAGGTGGCAAACATTGTGACACAAATTTCTTACATACTGTATTTACTGGCTAAGTTGACTCAGCCTTCCATCCTTCTAAGGTTGGTAAAATGAGGACCCAGATTGTTGGAGGCAAGATGCTGACTCTGTAAACCACTTAGAGAGGGCTGTAAAGCATTGTGAAGCGGTATATAAGTCTAAGGGCTATTGCTATTGCTAACAGGTCATGTGACAGAAATGAATGACTTCTGGAGAAACATTCTGACCAAACATCAAATTATGAAATTATTCTGGGGTTCTTAATTTGTAAAGATAAACTATTTTGGATATATAACAAACAATGTTTCAGTCCCATCTTGTTAATTTCACAAGTTATATATATAGAATTAGAAAAGTTGCAATTCAGGTCTCATTCATTATTTATATTTACAACTGTCTTATACTGGCAGAGCTTTCTCACCTGCCCCTAGTCCCTAGGAAGGCAACCAATAATGGGACAGAATAGCAATAGCACTACCTTATATACCGGTTCAGAGTGTTTTACAGCAGTCTCTAAGGGGTTTTACAGAGTCAGCATGTTGTCCCCAACAATCTGGTTCCTCAGGATGGAAGGGTAAGTCAACCTTGAACTCATTAGGCTCGAACTGCAGACTAAGGGAAGAGTTAGCTTGCAATACTGCATTCAAACCACTGCTCCGCCAGGGCTCTTATCCATGTATGGTATTCTTTAGCTACCAATGCTAAATCAAGCCAAACTATAATGTAATGATCAGAGGAAAAGCTTTGTAGAGTGAATTCTAACCATGAGATCTATTCCCTGCATTGAGTTGTTCCAAACAGACTTATTATTTAAAAGCAAGAGGTTGGTACTAACTTTTTGTTTTATCATCTTACACATATATGACCCACTCATTACTTCATGAGTAATAAATAAGTCATAAGTAAGGCAGAAGAAAAAGATCTGATCACTGAGCTACATGCATGATTAATGTCAAAACATTATTTCATTATGAATATGTTTTTCTTCTGATTGCTTCCTGCTTCATTATTATAATATGTCAACCTTGGTGCGAATAATTTCCTGAAAGTCAGTTCCATTGATATGCAAATTCACATCCTAGTTAAATGGGAAGGGATATTACCTTCATAGCACATGCATATACATAATACAAAATAATTTGCTTGGCCACATTAGGAGCTTAGCAAAGGTGCCTACCTTTCGCCCAGCCTCATTGTTGTGCAAATTCATGAGAGTCCTTGCGTTTTGCTTAATCTCCCTTGCATCCACAAACACTTTGGAGAATCCTATTCCATATCGGATGTCTGCAGAGCAGCCTCCCCATTTCCATCCTTCATCTTTGTGGTACTGTCCTTGCTTTTCCTTGTCACAACCACAATTGCTCAGGTTCCCTTGGGTGCAGGCAGCAGTGATGGCGTGGGCTACTCCAGCAGCAATGATGGCATAGGTGAATGCTGCTTCTCTACTACCTGAAATTAAGATGCATGTTTCAGGAAAAGATAGAATATTTGGAAGAAGAACAGCAACAGCAATAACAATAAAAACACATAGTATGCAAGTCTATGCAGTGAAAAGGCTGCAAGGCTATTATCAGACATGCTGTAAATTTGCAGGCATAAGCATTTCTTGTCATATCCGAGTACTCTTCTTTTGTTGATGCTCAGACACACCCCAAAGAATCATGCTTTAGTAGAGACAGCATATTTTTAGCACTTCCCAAAAATGTCAAATTAGTAAATACTTAATAACACAAGCGAGGTTGCTTTTTCAGATTGCAACCTATAGTTCAATAGGCTTTTTAAATATTCAGCTGAAGCACTTTAGATCAGAGAAATGTTTCATCATGTGACTCAACAATGTACAGTGTGTTTTAGACTCAGCATAATAATAGGAATATCATCCCATAGAAATGCAGAAGGCATCCCACACAAATGCAGAACGAATACACAAACTTTATTACACTTACTAGTTACTTGCTATAACTGACACAAACATACCACGATGTAAAAAAGATGCTGAGAAGATGCTGAGTACAGAGAAGAGCATCAAAGATGATTAGGGGACTGGAGGCTAAAACATATAAGGAACGGTTGCTAGAATTGGATATGTCTAGTTTAACGAAGAGAAGGACAAGGGGGGACATGATAGCAGTATTCCAATATCTCAGGGGCTGCCATAAAGAAGAGGGAATTAAGCTATTTTCCAAAGCACCTGAAGGCAGGACAAGAAGCAACTGGATGGAAACTGATCAAGGAGAGAAGCAACTTAGAACTAAGGAGAAACTTCCTGACAGTTAGAACAATTAACCAATGGAACAACCTGCCTCCAGAAGCGGTGAATGCTCAAACACTGGAAGTTTTTAAGAAGAGACTGGACAGCCATTTGTCTGAAATGGTATAGGGTTTCCTGCCTGAGCAGGGGGTTGGACTAGATGACCTCCAAGGTCCCTTCCAACTTTATTATTATTGTTGTTGTTGTTGTTGTTGTTGTTGTTGTTGTTGTTGTTGTTATAGTGATTGGAAAAGGACATCTTCAAAGTAAATGGCATGCATGCTGTATTTATAGTCAAAGCACTTTTTCTGAATAGTCGTTGAACTATGCAAGCTCTGGTATCTTTAATATGTCATAAAATAATTTGTAACATTGCTAAGTATAATTAGCTGATGCCCTTCCTTGATCAATATGAAACACAAAGAACTGTGGCATAGATAGCTTTGTCTACAAAACAATGATTTTAGACTGCATTAAACACCACATGGGTTTTAGAATTTAGGGGAAAGAGAGAGAATGAGAGAAAGAGAAATTTACTTTCCAGTTGCATGGACACACATGTATGTATGTGCATCTGTATGAATTTATTCTAAACAAAGATGGCTGGGAAAACTTTTCCTGATCACAGAGATCCAGATCTGGCAGTCAGTCATGTGCTTGTCACGTTGTTTGGATTTAGCACTGCCCGTTATCCCATGGCAGGAGGACTGAGGCGGCTGTTTTGATTTGGGAAGACCACATCATCACTGCCATCCCCCATTCAGTCGTGTTCAACCCTTACCCATTCTATGGATCAGCACTCTCCATGCCCCTCTGTCTCACACTGCCTCCTTCAGATCTGTCATGGTCATCCAGTGTCATCCTTTATATTGTCCAACCAGCAGATACTAGGGCAGCCCCTTCTTTTTCCACTGATCACTCCCATTTCTTTGAGGCAGTTCCAGAGCTTGTCATGGTCAACACAGTCAAAAGCTTTTGTGTAGTCAATGAAGCACATGTAGAGGACTTTTTGGTATTCCTTTGCTTTTTCCATTATCCAACATACATTGGCAATATGCTAACATGTTCCTCTTCCTTTCTGAAATCCTGCTTGTATATCAAGCAGTTCTCTATCAGTGTTTGGACAGAAAACTGCCTGATTAAATGGCTGATTAAATGACTAAGCAACCACAGGGACAGATAACCCACTATGAGACCATATTTCTGAAGCTAGATTCTAGATGCAGGTTGAAATCGTTGCTGTTATACACTCTCTCTGCTGTATGATTGGGAGTGGGAGGAGAGAATCCCAATTCTTAAATCAAATCCCCAAGTTCCTGGAAAAGCCAGGCCTTAGTGCAGCGGTTCTCAACCTATGGGTCGCAACCCCATTTGGGGTCGATCGACCATTTTACGGGGGTCGTGAAACAACGCGTCTGCCATTTTCCCCCCCAGGGGGTGGCACCGCGCATGCGCACCGTGTCCGTGTGACGGGGGTCGCCATCACACGAAGATTGAGAACCGCTGCCTTAGTGGCTTTTCTAAATGACAACGGACTTTATCTGGCCAACAAGTGTGATTCCATCTCCAGTAGTGTTGGAGGTCCATAGAGTAATAGTTCCGGTTAATTTTAACTTTTCTTATTGAGGGAAGAATAGGAGACATTCAGGAATTTGTGACCACCATAACAACCATGTGCTTGTCCCCAGATCATCAGAGACTTGATTATGACACTGACCCCACATTCGATCTGGGTTTTGTTTCTGAGAAGATGTAATCTGAGTTTGAGGACATTAAGATTTGTCATGGGGAGAACTCAGTGGTGGGATTCAGCCAGTTTGCAACAGTTTGGCAGAACCAGTAGCTAATTTTTTGTTGCCCACGCCCAGAATGGACTTCCAGAAGTGGCATCCACACAGAGAACTGGTTGTTCACATATTTGAATCCCACTACTGGGAGAACTGCATATGATAGGTCTTCATGTCCATCAATTCAAGGAAGTTCTTTATTGAGGAGCTCAAGGAGATGCTGAAGCAAAGAAGATCCTACAGCACAACAGGTAAAAGAGTGAGCCTATCCAAACATGAGAAAGAGGTTCATATTTATACTGTGGAACTAAAGAATAGTGAAACAGAAGTATTTCTGTACCCATATTATCATTCAGTGGCCTTTTTAAAGTGACTGAGACCCTTCTGAATAAGGATAGGACAAAAGAGCAGTTACTTGAGCCACTGTGAAGAGTTTTCAATGCAATTGGACAATAACATTGTTCAAATTCACTCACAGTTAGATATGAGCATATTCAGTAGAGATGGTAGAAGCCTCATCTTGTGAGCTTATCTGAATGGAATTTGAGCCTGTTGCTCTTAAGGAAGTGAACAAGATTCTTCGTGACATTGGCTCTGCTACCTGGGATTGGATACCTGCCATTTCTGGTTGATGAAAGCCTCAAAAGCTGCTATAGGAAGCTTGAATAGGGCAGTGATGAATGCTTCTTTGAGAGAGGAGGGTAGTTTTTCTGGCCTTTATAAAGATGGTGGAGCACCTAATCCTCAAGAAATCACAGTTGAGCTTTCTTACAAACTACAAACCAATTTCCATGCTTCTCTGTTGGGGGAATATTGTGGAGAAGACAGTATCTTTGCACATCTGGAGGTTCTGAGATGAAATGTATTGTCTGGATTCATTTTAGTCTGATCTCAGAATGCAACATGCAAATTACTTGGATAATATGCTAGTGCAGGAGCTGCATCAATTGCCAGTGGGCTTCTGGTAACTGGGGCAGATGAAGGTGCTTTAAATCCACACATAACTCTAGACCAGGATATCTTGGAGACTGCCTGCTTTCAGTGGCACCTGTCCATTCCAACAAGTTCTTAAAGGAACAACTCCCTTCAGCCCCCACTCAAAAAGACTCATCAGGAGATTTCATCAATAGCCATGAAAGCAGGTCTTTCCCACAGCCACCTTCCTTCTGTAGAATATTGTTCCCTCCCACCCACAGAGTAAAATCTGTTGACATTTAGAAAAGCCAGTGAGGCCTGGCTATTCCAGGAACTGCAATTGATTTGATTTAAGAATAGAGATTCCTCAGCCCCATCCCCACCCCCAATAAGCAGTAGTTAATTATTTTGGAATGGAATAATTCAATTATGTATTGTTTTGTTGTGCAATATTGGGTATGTGTTTAAACCTTTTTATTAGTTCTGAGTACACACTGCAAATTTGTGACTGAAGTGGCACATAAGAGGGAGGAGAAAGATGGACAGACAGAAATGTTTCCTAATATTGAAGGAACCAAACATAATGAAAATAATTGTCAAAAGCTACTCAAAGAAAAATGTCAGCATTTGAAATTAAGCCTATTTTTAAAGCTCTTTCTTTGGCTATGATTGTATTTGCCTCTTTTGCTGTGCATCATAGCCACTTCTTGAATGGCTCTGTTGATTAAAAAAAAAAAAACAGAAAACATACAAGTCAGTGCAAAATGATATCTGCCTATTCAAAACTAAGCCTCACAGAGTTCGTCTGGTCTTCTGTAGGGGCTGGGAATATTGGGTCTTTCAGTCCCCATACCTCTGGAAGGTATCGTATTGGAAAGGGCAAACTCACATTCTTTATTCTCAGCAGAATTGTTCTCCATGGGTGATATATATTAATTCTGGCCTCTAAAAGGTTTGGTTATTGAAAATATTTATTTCATTATTTGCCACAGACAACTGGCAGTATAATGGATTAAAGCTTGACATCAATAAAATCTGTTAAGAGAAACCTTGTGGGTTTATCCATATTCCTTTTTATGTTTAGTTTTTATTGCATGTATAGATGGAAGAATGTTGTGCTTTTAGACTTCTTAAATTCCTAAGAAATGTAAAACTATCCAAGGAGTATCTCTGACATAAGCATAATTTAAGTATGATTTAGATTAGACTAAGAGAACAAGCTATATATGTGTGCTTTTTTTATTGGCATATTTCATCTCAGGAGGATGTTTCACAGACTTTGCAAATGATTTAGGAGAAGGTGAACATCTTACCACTTACGTGGGTTTTGATGTTAAATCATTCGTAACAACATAAATAAATATCAATATTGTTCTATTTGGGAAAACATAGTGCTCAGAAGGACATTGAAATGTATACTTTAAAAATAAAACTAGGAATCCTTCATTTTTCTTGTCTGTCTATACAGTTTGAAGAAGGTCAACACAACTTAGCGG